AATAACAAAACTAACAAACAACGAAAATAATTTAATAACAGAAAAAGGATTATTAAGAAGCCGGATTACCTAGCATCCTTCCTTTCGTCTCCCAACTGCTTCTATAACCTGATACACCCCGCTCCCCCCTCCCCCTCCCCCCTCCTCCCACGCACCTGTCTGCTCAGAACCTGTTCTGTGTAGGTTCATTACATGTCATATATGTGTATGTGTATATTCCATACTTATAAAAATGGCTGCATATATGCCCTATGTACGTATGTATTTTATGTACGTGTGTGTGTGTGTGTGTGTGTGTGTGTGTGTGTGTGTGTGTGTGTGTGTGTGTGTGTGTGTGTGTGTGTGTGTGTGTGTGTGTGTGTGTGTGTGTGTGTGTGTGTGTGTGTGTGTGACAGAAAGACATAGAGAAAGGGGAGAGAATAAGACATACAAAAATCACACACGCACGAACATACATCCACACTAGCAGCTCTGTTCTGTTCATCCATTTGCATGACAGTTCATGGAGCTTTTTATTCTTCTAGTTGCCACTTAAGGACTTTTATCATCAACTCCTTACTTCTTCTTACTTAATATGAGAAATGTCTCAATTTTTTCTGATAAAAATGAGGACTTTATAGTTATCGATGAGCAGTCCTCTCAGTTTCGTCACTGAGATCACGCTGAGCCATCCAGGTAACGTAGGAATACAGCTAAAACAAACAAACAAGCACGCACGCACACACACACACACACACACACACACACACACACACACACACACACACACACACACACACACACACACACACACTTGATAGTGTAGCCACCTGCGAAATACAAGCACACAGTTATAGTGCCGTAGGTATAATACTCGCGATGCTTCCGTCCACGCCCCTCTACCCATGGCCAGCCAAGGTCCCTCTTCGGGTAGACCTTGGGGCCGTTCCCGCTGCGTCTCGCGGAGAAGGACGGCGACCCCGCTGCTCGTCTGGGACGCGAGGACCGGTTCTTAAGGCTTTCCTCTTCTTCTCCAGTAACACCTCGACTTTCTTCATTCCAGCGTCCGAGAGCTTCCCGGCAGACGGGGGCGATCTGCTTGACTTGATATAATAGTCGTAGTTTACTGGTTCCTCTTACTTTGGGCGTCGCGTCGGGGTTGCGTCTCCTTTAAACCTCCTTCTCTTTAATCATTCAACTATCTTGGTACACATTTGGGCATTGTAGTTTCCCACGACCCAGGGAAACTCAGCCTACTTAAAGTACTGCTTCTGTGTGTCTGAACAGGCGCACTGAGTCACCACCACAAACTTATTACCCGCAATATCATGCTGATCCCTTGAAACAAAACAATCAACACTGTCATCACTTGATCACTAATATCAGCAATGTCGTCACTACTACTACTACTACTACTACTACTACTACTACTACTACTATTACCACACCAACACACACACACACACACAATTTGATTAAACATATCATCTACTTTTTTAACTCTCACCTCTTCATTTGGGGGCAGTAATATGTACAATTAACTGATTCTTACATCATCAAAGACATGTAACTAAGTCTCAGATCAGTATTACTAAGTTTTCTGCACTTAAGATACACATCTACGCTTGCACATTTTCTTAGAGGATGGTGCACAGTACACACACAAACACACACAGACATATGCATCCATCCATACATATATATAGACATAAATACACACACACATGTATTATATATATAAAAAATATGGAAATAAACACATAATTACACCTGCCTTTTATAATTCAGTGGAACTGAACACTAAAAACTTCCTTTTACAATTCAACAGAAATTTCCACATTCCATTAAATATTAAATCAAAGGGATTTACGTGTAATGAATTGTACTTGTTTCTGAGAAGCAGAGAATACTAGAACACTTCCTTTTAAAATACAGCATAACAAAAAAATTCACATGCTATTCAAAAACAAAAATAAAAAAGTTTTACCTATTATGAACTGTACTTATATCCTGAAGTTATGAATTTAAAAAAGAAAATTCAAAATTATTATGGACTGTATTTAAAATGAAAGCACTTTATACCGGAAAAGCAGTCTTCTTTGAAAAGTTATCATCCCCTTCTTTTGAAAAGTAGTTCATTGAAATTGAAATTTAAGACCTTTTAAAAATAACATTTTTATTTTTAATTCTTATGACAATATAGATAGTTCATTTATGCATCCTGATCATACCTCCATTTTGTGTGCATCAATGATTTTAAACAAAATCACTAGTTTTGCTGCCTTTTCTATCATCAGCCAGTTTCTTAGTTTTGAATGTACTATTCCATAGCTTGATAAAACTCTTTCAACCCCTGATGAAGATGCCACTGCAGACAGTAGTTGTTGTGCTGCTGAAATTACATCACTATCCAACATATTAGACTGGTACCTACACCATTCAACAGCTGACATACACTTGGTCACAGAATCACTATACTTAATTGCATTGAAAGGGAGCCAATTTAGCTTGAAATTTCACAATGACTGGGGCAAGGGAAACTTGTCATTGGCATAGTCCATTGCATTATTCACTTCTGCACTAAGCAGTTTTCCTCGAAAGGAAGGTGAATCAGGTTTGCAAGAAAATGAGCTTGTGTTATGATTTAGCCAAACCTCTTTTTTGCAACAGTTACTGCATTTCTTATTCTATGAAGTGATTAATTCTTCCCATATGTTCACTGCTTCAGTAGTTGTACATTTATCACTGTACTTTATCTAAAGCCACAGCAATTGGTTCTAGTCGTGCAAGTAGGTGCTCTGCTGACCACTTCAGTGTTAAGTTAGACACCTATCTAACTCGGACATGAATCTGCTCCCTATCAACTTCACAAATTTTCATGATAGCTGGCCAGTTCTTTATGTATATCTTCAACGAGTTATACGTGGTATTCACTCTTGTGTCTTCTGGCTTAACAAGACGTTGCCCACCTTCTTGGTGATATCTTGCAGAAGCATAGTAATTGTTTCTAAAGTATTCAGAATGTGTGTAGTAGTCATAGATCACCAGAGTCAGTTCATTTCCTTGTTCTAACAGTTTACTCATTTTGTTCACATTACCAGTGTTCTCTGTCACAACACATGACAACCAAGTTCTTTTCACTTCTGAATTGCTGATTTTGAGAGCTCTTCTAAATATCCAACTGTATGAGGCTGTCCACTTGTGTCTATTGTATCCACTAGATATATATGGCCATCTGAGATTGTCACAGTAACACATATAATAGACTCATTTGTGAATGTTAGACCATCCATCTAAAGATATACAGTTTCATCAGCTGTGGCACACTTTGCTTATTCTTTTTTATATATCATGAGGAGGAATTTGTCTGCAATTGGTTTTCTTGTTGGAGGAGTGTATCCTGGCCTCAACTTCCCAACCATTTTACAAAACTGAGGATGTTCTACCAATCTAAATGAAGAGTTGGTTGCTGAGACCATCTTAGCAACTTCTTCATTCAAGTTTGTTTTTTCATAAGAAGTTGTCTTTGTAACAAATGAGTCCAAAGTTGTTGCCTTACGCTTTGAAAAACTTGTAGCAACACTTCTTTGAGGTCCCTTGTCAGATTCAGTCAGATTTTCAGTCTTATCTGGAACATCCAAATCCTCTTCTAATAATTCATTTTTTAGCTGCTGATATTTTTCTCTGAAATTTCATTCTAGCTACTATGCACTGTAACTCAAATTTACACTGTTTGCATATAGCTCTCCATCCTTTCCCAGGCTTTGAAGGAATTCAGTGAAAATGTTCCCACAATAGATCTCTCTTCCTACCAGATACATTAAGCCTTTTGGTTACTGACATCTCTCCACTCTTGCAGTTAGCTAAGGAATGAGTGGCTGTAACACCCAAACTACCACAGTGTCATAAGTCTGGCTATATGAAATATACAGGAACAGGAGTCAGGACAAAGACATGATGTAATCCTGGCCAAGGGCTACTGGGCTGCTTGACAGGTACAAACAGTTTGTAACAAAGTGAGAGATGATACATGCTGTAAAATGTATTTTTAACTAATGTATAGAATATATGATAGCTTTCCAAATATTTTTATGCTGATAAAAAGAAAATCTGATAAAAAAAAAATATACATATGTATATGTATATATATGTATATATATGTATACACACACACACACACACACACACACACACACACACACACACACACACACACACACACATATATATATATATATATATATATATATAAGATCTTGGCTAAGAGATAATACTAAAGTTTTGGCCATTCACATAGCACTGGGTAAACAGCATATGGAATTGATAAATCATTCATCTCTTAAAAGGAAACAGTTCTTGAATATTGAAAATTAAAATAGAAGTAAGTGTGACAGACAAGGTGAGGGGACTGGTGTTCAAGCAAAGGCCAACAAATCTCCACTATGCATACCGGGCAGAATAGATTTCTTGACAGTTTCTGTATTAAAAAAACAAGACAAAAAATCTATGGCTAGGAAATTATACACAGCGAAAATATCCTAGAAATATTGCATAACAAAGGAATATCCAAAGAATCATTTGTATGTCAAACATAGCTTGGATATATATATATATATATATATATATATATATATATATATATATATATATATATATATATATATATATATATTATTAATTTCATATCAGTTCTAGTTAAGAGGCAATTTTGCCCATGCTTCTCCCCCTAAGACTGACAGACAGACAGACAGACAGACAGACAGACAGACAGACAGACAGACAGACACACACACACTTCCCCAGATTTCCAAGCTTGTTATCTGCAGTAACAGGGACTTATTCACAAGTGGATGATGTCATAATCTTAATAATTACTCTCTCTTATATATCACTTGCAAAATGGTTATAAAGAAAAAATTCATTGATCTACCAATTCCATACACAGTTCATCTTATCTTCTATGCATGTCCAAAAATAACATTACAGTCTGCTGTAGCTACTACAATTCTGCACATTCTTACCTCTCAAAGGCCGATGGTTGCCTCTGATAATTCCCCCCTAAGCTGTTCGACCATTTCCGTGTTTGCACCGGTTGGAATCATCCGTTTTGGGTGGAGCGCCGTCCCCTTCCACCTTGATAAGGTTTCCCATTAGCAGTTTATAGGACTGGCCTCTCATTTTTCACGTCTTCTTTACAGTGATGGGTTCTTTGACTTCTTGATGGCTTTCTGACATTGCAGGTGATTCTGTATACACAAAGAGTGAAACCTGACTGTAATTTGAGTCACTTATGTTGACTGATAATTATTTCTTGCAAAACAAGACCATTAATTCTCTTTGCTTTGGTTGTTGTAACAGAATGGTCACCAATCTTACATGAAAATATTTTATAACTGGGGTATCAATAGCAACCAGATTAAATTTCTTAATATGAAATCAATTTATCTTATATCAGTACATGTATGCTGTACTAACCCAACTACAAAGAATACACAGTGCAGAATCAACCAATGTAGATTACAGTGGGACATAAATCAGAGGGACCTCACATTGAATATCATTGGAATACAAAAGAGTACATATGGATCTTTTAGAATGAGAAATAATACAATTTTGCAAAAAAATATCTACCAAACAATTATTTTCTGCCTTTTAGAAATAAAAGAAATATTCAGAATTATGGTATAACT